AGCTCCTGCCATGCGTGCCTCGGGCAGGCCTCGGTAAGCCTTGGAGCGCCTCGAATGCCAACAAACCTGCTTCATCATGGCCCCCAAAACAGGATCCAAAAACCAGTAGAAACATGGCGGCCAGAAAGGGACCTCGACTGTACAAGAAACAAAGTGGGACGCACAGAGAGAAAAAGCATGTATTAACACTTACGCTCATGCTAGTGCGTCGCAAATCTGCTTGCAAAACCTCTGCGGGCAGCAGCAAAATTCTCCGATGGCTGACCCCACTTTTGGGTCCAAATCTGGATCCCAAAACGGGGCCCAAGCAAAGAACTAAAAGAAGGAATGAAAATGTGATCCAATTCTGGACCCCATTTTGGGGTCCATATTTGGACCCAAAAATGGGGTCAGCCATCGGAGAATTTCGCTGCTGCCCGCACATGTTGTGCAAGCAGATTTGCGACCCTGCAGCTGGAACATGAATGTCAACTCATACCTTTTTCTCTTTGCGCGTCCCAAGTCCGGTTGCTACTGTAGCAGCAGCAAAGCGTGCTTCAAGGGCCCAGTCTATGAATGTGGACGTGCCTCAGACCCCCGTCCATGCTGAAACTTCTTCTCAATCTTCTGGCAAGCACAGCACACAACATGATGTGACTGGTGATTCAAAGCGTTTTCATGCAACAGCAGTTGAAGCTTCTTCAGGGCATGGAGACGTTGTTCCACAAACGCCACAGTCAGATGCACCAGCCGAAGTTTTGGATGATGCTTCTTTTGAAAGTATGCAGCCTGTCAGCAAAGCTGCCAAGCTTGATGACACTGGACATCTTGGACTCTGGGGGCAGATTTTGAAGATTGAGCACTTGGACATTGAACCTGACGTCAACTTTGAAATGGATGAAGTTGACACGATGATCCAACATGAATTGAATCTCAACGAGGATCCCTATGAGATTATGGATGATGTAGGACCCAACGTGGATGAGCTCAGTTTTCTGTATAGCCCTCAAGAGCCAGAGCTCAGTGCAGATGAACTTCAGCGCTTGGATAGCATTGCAGATCAAGTGGAGGTTGAAAGGCTATCTGGTCTCCAAGTTTTGCAAGAGGACAACTTGCCTCACGATGCCAAAAGCTTGAGCACACGCTTTGTGCGCAGAGAGAGAAGAAAGACAAGCAAGGCAACGCTATCTGGTTGCGTCGCAGTCGTTTGGTTGCGAGGGAGTACACATGGTTGCAGCCTGACAGAGAAGCTCTCTTCTCACCGGCTACTTCGAACATTGCCAGCCGCATTTTGCCTGTTTGCTTTTTTGGCCCTGCGAGAGCACCAGGACACGATGATGGTGGCTATTGATGTCAAAGACGCTTTCTTGACAGTGAAGCAAGAACAGCCAACCCGTGTACGCTGCACAGATGCCTCTGGGAGAAGTGTCTCATACAGTTTGGGCCGTGTCCTTCCAGGTCAGCGTGATGGCAGTCTTTTGTGGCATCGAGACTTGGTCAAGTTTGTTCGTGAAAGCAGCCTTGGGATGGAAGAGTTTGAGGCCTATCCATCCATCCTACGTTCGTGGATGACCTTCTGGTTGGGTCACGCAAAGCAGTCACAGAAGAGCTGATCCCACATATGCAGTCAAATGCCTGTGACGAGTTGACCTTTCTCAAGCGCACCCACCAGCTTTTGGAATCTGGGCGCATGGTGGTGAAGATCCATGGGAAACATTTAGATCAACTTTGCAAGTTGTTGCAACTCTCAAAGCGCTTGCAGAACAAGAAGTCACCTGGACATTCTGAGATTGAATTTCCTGACAAGTCAGAGGAGTTGAGTGCTCATGATGGATCAGTTTACCGTTCATGCGTGGGGATTTTGCTTTATCTTTCACCTGACTTTCCACAATGTCAATATGTGATTAGATACCTTTCGACGTTCTCTTCAAAGCCAACACAGAAAACGATGATTGTGCTGAAGCACTTGGTAGGATATCTGGCTGGTCACGCAGACCAACATGTTTCTCTCAGATGGAAAGGAATTCACTCTGGACTACTCAAAGACTATGAGTGTGAGGAACCGGTGCTGGAAGTGTTCAGTGATGCAGATTGGGCATCAGACCGTGACACTCGACGTTCAGTGTCAGGAGCTGCCATTTTCTTTGGATGTTGCCTGGTTTACTCCTCCAGTCGAACACAGAAGATTGTGTCACTTTCCAGCGCAGAGTCAGAAACGTATGCAGCCGCCAGCGCAGTGATGGATGCAATCCTCATCAGAGCCATCATTTCATGGATGCTTCAGTCAACGATTCTCATGTGTTTGTACATTGACTCATCAGCCGCACGTGGAATCTTATCAAGACGTGGAGTTGGTCGTTTGCGTCATCTCAGCTGTCGAGTCCTTTGGCTTCAAGACTTGGTTGGTGAGAAACTGTTGATGGTCAAAGCAGTCTTAGGAGCAATCAATCCATCCGACATAGCCACCAAGAGACTCAGCATCAGCAGGTTGGAATCACTGTTGTATTTGTTTGGTATCTGGGACAGTGCAAACAACAGCCTTGTGGGACAATATGACCCAGGTCAAATTTTCAGAAATGGTCGAATTTTCAGAAATGTTCCTCAACCTCAGCAGAACAGCGCTTCCAGATATCAGATCAACATGTTGATTGGCGCCTTGAGCTTGCTTCTTCAGGGTTGCGGGTCGGACGTGCCAAGTGAAGCCATGGACAGCAATTTTCTAGGATCGACTATGCAGGCAACCATCGTCACCAGCTGGATCACCTTGCTGACTTTGTAGATGGTGTTCTTATGGATGCGCAATGATCAGCCGGTTCACATTGAAGTTTTGGCCAGCAGTGATGGTGATGGTTTGACTTCTGTGGAGATGTCCCGTAGCGAAACTGAGACAGATTTCAGTTGTGAAGGTCTTCCAGACTTTCCCGCTTTCAGTCCTGAAGCTTTGATTTCATGGCTGTTTGAGAGGTGCTACCGTCGACGTGAAGATTCAATCTCCAATGGAAACAGTTCCAGAGCACTTGCGTATACACAGCGCATGACGCTGTTGGTGGATCTGTTGGATCATGTTATGGGTTCTGATGACACCGCAAGACAGGAGGCAACAGACATGTTGAACACGGTGTCGGATCTTTCATCAGACGAGGCGAGCCCTACACGTGCAACAGATGAGCCTCGGGAGTCAAAGGAGAAGAGACTTACCACAGCACATGTTGCCATGATTTCTTTGCAGGGAAGCATGGCCATGGGCCTTGGAGGATGTTTTGGAGCTGACATGGATGAGACTGCTCAGAACAACAGTGGGAGCAGCCAGTTCTCATTCCTGGTCCTGACCTTGTGGACGTTGTTGCTTGCAGCATATACATGGTGGATGTTGCGCAGCCCATTTCTTCGCCCAGTGCCAATGCCACCTCCCATGCCAACTGAACTTGCAGTTGGGCCGGTGGTCACACATGATACCAACACGTTGGAAGGGCTGTTGACGTGGACATATGCCCGTGTGTTGGGCAGGCTTGCAAGGGCAACTCGAGACAACAATTTTGGAAGGATCAGAAAGTATACCCAGTCACGGGAATGGCTTCAAAGATGTTTTGCAGAGCTTCGAAATGCCAGTCCAGCTGACCGTGAGCGCATGCAGGCTTCTCTCACGGGTGACAACGAGTTGGACGAGGAAGATGGTTCTCCAAGCTATGGCTATGGGGTGGTGGAACGTGAATTGTTAGCTGCAACCCATGGACAGATTTTCCAATTGGTGGTGAAGCTGCTTGAGCTCGAGAGATCCGAGAGCGTGGTGGAATTGGTCAGTGGGATTGAAATTCACTGAGGACGCCACCTAGTCCTGAGACTTCCTCAGACGAAGCCATGATGGAGACCCATGAAGAAAGAGCGCAGAGGTATCGAGATTCAGAACAGTGTGAAATGTCAGGCCGAGACTTCTGTGCCACAGTCCAATATGGACCAGCAGAAGATGGAGAGGAAGAAGACGATGAAGATGATGCCATGGACGTGAGCAAAGACGGTTTGATGGAATTCTGAGAAGATCCTGAGCGAGGGTAGAACAGCACCACAGAAGTGGTTCCATGAATGGTTAGGCTAAAAACCATTTGTGGGATCCAGTGCGCAGTTTTTTGTTTAGCGCAGAAAACCCCAACAGAAGAGATTTGACGGACTAAGCACAGTCCTAAGGGGTGTACAGACTAGTATTGGAAATGCAGTCTGAGGCGGGGTGCAGAAATGTTTCGCACCTTGCATCAGTACATGTACATGCCATAGCAGTCATGTTTTGTCACTTGACACTGCACAAATCGAGCAGTGTAACATGGTGAGACTTTGGAGGCGCTTTCAACTCAAGGAAAATCCGCAGTTCTGATTTTTGTGAAAAAATATCAAATTAAGCTGTGGTGTTTCCACGTATTGGAAAATGTGTCCCGTGAATGTTGCGCGCGGATTGAAATTGGACTTTTGTGAAGTTGAATATGCCATGTTCATGATTTCAATTCAATTCGCATTCGCGACGTGTTGCGACTGTGTGTTTGGAAGTAAGTAATACGCGATATGGTCCGGTTTTGACCCTGTGGCGTATTCCGGTTCTCTGTTCTGATTCCTAGATACTCTCCTTACGCGATCCTTGCGCTCCGCGATACACGCCAGTGGATTGTTTCCTTGGGTAATTGGAAGTATTGATTATACTTCCTGTTGGTTTACCAAACAACTTTGTGGAACAACCATGTTCTGCTTGTTCGGTAAATTTGGTTTACTCAAGGTAAACAGGTAATTGAGACTTGATGGCCTTTTCCATCCGGAAGAAATCTCAATTCCTCGGATCGTGTTTTGATTTTTTAGTTCACTTGAACTTGGTTTTTTATATGTCCTGTACAAACTTCCTTTAATCACCTGAAAGGTTGTATAGAACAATTTGATGAAATCTATTTATGTCCGTGTATTTTCCAGTGGATCAATCGGTTAGGGTTGGTGCAACTTTTTTAGATGGGGGGAACGGCTGCGCCTAGCCTTCTCGAAGCCTCATGGAGCTGGGAACTTTGAGACAGCAGATTTCGTGTCATTTGCAGTCATGTGGTTTGTCTTCTAAGAAGCTTGCTGTTTTCTTGCCAAATGATGCAGATGACATTGCGTCACAGGTTTGCAGGGAATTGGGTCTGGTTTGTGAGCAGATACATGTTGACCTGGTAGCAGAGATCATCAGGGATGCTCGTGATGCGGAGCCCTTACAGAAACGTTTGGGAGGAGACGAGAGCATGGACCCATTGCATGGAAACTTGCTTCATGAGCGTTGTTCAACTTTGTATCCAAAACCTGTTGCACCAACTTTCACTGAGTTTGCTTTCGATGTCATCAGTTCTAGGCCAAGTCGTAGGAGGAATTTTCCAACAGAAGATGCAGAGGAGACACAGAAGAAAGAACAAGGACAGAAAGAGACTTGGTCCAGAGAGTTGTACAAGGAACTCAAGCGTCTGGACGCTCCGGCCTTACTGCATTTGGAACACTGTGTGGATCAGAAACACCTACATCTTGCACTGGCAGGTAGAACCAGGCATAACACACTGAAACGATACATCAAAACATGGAGATCTTTCATGCAGTGGCTTACAGCAGTGCGTGGCATGAGTGCCAGTCCAGAAGTAGGTGATCTGGTGGAGTATCTTTTCACAAGGTTTGAAGAGCCGTGCGGAGCAACAGTACCACCTCTTATTGTGAAAGCTGTTGTTTGGCTGGAACGTGTTGCAGACATTGATCCACGTGAAAGAATAGGCGACTCACAGGTGGTTTGCTCAGTCAGGGACTATTTGGTAGAGATGCTTTCCAAGGAAAAGCCACCAACTCAGCGTGCACCACGTTATCCAGTTGTGATGATGGAAGCTTTTGAACATGTTGTTGAAGATGAAAGTCAGCGTATAGGCTTTCGTTTAGTTGCATGGGTAAAACTGGTGAAACTATGGGCAACTCTTCGTTGGGATGATGCCCAGAAGATCATCCCGAAGGAACTCAAGTTCTATGGAGGACGCATGACCACCATTTTGAGAACTACGAAGACCTCAGGGCCATCGAAACGAGTACAAGAGCTTCCGGTTTGCGTCTCAGAGCATGCATTTGTTTCGAACCCCTTTTGGCTGAAGACGGGTTTTGACTTGTTCAAGAAGCATGCACCTTTTGAGAGGGACTATTTGCTTCCCAAGCTGAATGATGAATGGTCAGCCTTTCGTAAAGTGATGGCGTCATGTTTTGGCCTGGCAAAGATGACTGTATCATACATCCTGTCTTGGCAGCCTTTTGGACTGAGCATTCAGAGAGGGCAACAGTGCCTACTGGCTTGGCTCTGCTGAGAGCTCAGAAGGAGGAGCGTGACATGCTGGGACGATGGAAGCCAGATGGGTCAGACACTTACATCAGGATGTACAACGGTGTCATTGCTAGGTTACAACAACAGTTTGCAAAATCGGCAAGAGGAGCTGAGCGACACAAAGAGCTGGATGAGAGAGACATAATTGAGAGTGCCATGTCATGGTTGTCAGAGAGGTGTGAAAACCTTCCAGAGGAAGGCGTTGATCGCATTCTTCAACATTTTGAGGAATCACTGGCCTCACCAATTTTTGCAGACTGGACAGAAGTAGGAAACACAGCAAATGATGAGACACTCCAGGAAGCCGACATTGACGCTTCATTGGAGACAGAACGCAAGATAACAGATACGGGCAATGTCACAAAGGAGAAACGTGCACACTTGTTTGTCGTTGTCAACAATGGGAAGAAATGCAAGAGACTTCACAAGAGTCATGGCGGATGTTGGATGGGGAGAGAGATGAATTTCAAGTCAGCAACAGAATATCTCACCATGCCTGAGGCAAGTGAGTACACGCATTACTGCAAGGTGTGCTGGCCAAAGGCGGGACCAAGTTCAGCCACGTCGGACTCCTCATCATCGTCCACCTCAAGTTCAAGAAGTGCCAGCAGCTCATCAGGACAGTCAAGCGAATAGTTTGATCTTGCTTGAGTGCACATCCCAAAGGGGACATGTGGATAGGTATCATCTCACCCGTGAAAGAAAAGGTCATAGCTGGAGCCAAGTGAATTGATCAGTCGGGGTGATGATTTCTTTCTTTGTGCTTTCATTTGATTTGGAGAAAGTAAGAAAGAAACAACTGATCTCGGAAGGAAGAAATTGGTTGGATCCCATGCCGGTAAGACATGCATGGGCACGGTGACGGTGACAGAGAGATCCGCAGATTTCTCCGGGTGTTTAGGCTCAGCTCGGTCAAGCTGATGAGATGTTTATCCACAGGTTTTTTAGGAGCACTGATAGCAGGATCATTAGTACATAGAAAGGTGAACACCGCTTGATTTTCCTTTATGCAGTTGATGTACACTCTCCAGAACACACATTCCGAAGTGACGTAGGAATTTGCTTGCATTTTGTCGCTTTGTCAATACGATTAGGATGAACTGGGTTTGCAAGGGGACTCACAACACGTTTTGAATAGGAGTTTGAACAAGCGCCAGCGCTCGGTGTCATGGCTTCTCCAGAGGAGATTGCCCTGCAGGAAGCGTTGAAGAGAGGCAGTTCAGACTTGAAGTTCATCCTCACGAGGAACGATGTTTCAAACGACTTGCAAGCATCCTTTTACAGAAATGATGTGACTTCGATACAGAAGTTCTCCTCCTTCTTCAGATCGGAGGACGACCTTGTTAAGGTCTTGAAAGAGGAGTTCAACACAGATGCAGATACAAGCTTGCAGGCGAGAGCACAGGTGGCTGCAGTGATATGTGCGTGGCGCGAAACACAGACGCGTCAGAAGCGACAGGCTGAAGTTGAAGCAGAGATGGAAACACGTGAATGGACCAAACCCATTCCGACTGGAGACTACATTAGCATGCGCAACGCATACATGAAGGTGCATGGAAGACTGGAGGACAAGGTAACTCCGTCGAAGGAGTATTTAGAGAAGAAGTTGCAAGAGCTTGAGAATGGAGAGTTCAGAGCCGAGACAATGGCCGAAGTTGTCTCAAAAGATGAGGTGGACCCTGATGTGATGATACCAGTTTTCGACGCGAAGGGCAGCCTTTCAGTTAGAAAAGGGGCTTCCACAATCCCTTTGCCCACGGGACCAGAACAGCTCAGACGCAGGTTATCGGTGATGGTCAACGCAATCCTCATGTTGGCCATTAAGCATCCCAACAGAGAGGAAATCCAAGATGTGACGCGTGATCTGTTTGAGCGGTACAAGGACTACGTTTTGGGTGACTATGTGTGGGGGCTTTCATCAACAGATTTGCAAGGTAACCAAGTTCAAACACCTCCTTGGACGTTGATACTATCATACGAACAAGCCATACGTAAGAGGGCATATGCATTGATGATTACAGATCAATTGCAACTGGGCGCGGCACTGGAACAGGCATGGAAGTGCCCTACCACCAAGGAGCGTCACTTCATCACTCCACTTGCACTTTACAGCAAGAGGTCCTATCCACAGCAGAACTGGGGTGAATGGAATCCAAAGGGAAAGGGAAAGAATGGAAAGTCATCGAGCTCTAAGGGAAAGTCAAAGGGCAAAGGATCAAGCACCACACACCTGATGGCACGAAGATTTGCTTCCGCTTCAACCAGGGCAAGTGCAGTTATCAGAAATGCAAATTCTCCCATGTTTGCAGTCGATGTTACAAGAAAGGGCACAATGCGTTGAATTGCAAGGAAGAGAAGAGCCCCCCGGACACTACCGGGGCACACTGACCATTGGGGGATCAGACTGCATGCAAGCAGAACCCAACTACGAAGCGAGTTTGCAGAGTTCTATATATATTTTCTGGAAAACCCAGGAAGAATTCAGTTTCATCATGGCTGCACAAACTGTCAAAAAGATTGGGAGTGACAGTCGAGGTTGAAATGGTTGACATTCAAGTGCGACCGTTCTTGGACCTCACCCAGAAAGAAGTCCAACAGCGCTTGTTGAACAAGATAGCTACAGGACGCTACGATGCAGTTTTGTTTAGCCCACCATGCAGTACCTTCTCACGAGTGGTCTGGGCGAATAGACATGGACCTCGACCAGTGCGGTCTTGCAGATTTCCTAGAGGCTTGAATAGGCTCACATGGGCAGAACGCAAAAGAGCAACATGGGGAAACACCATGGCAGACTTCACTTTCAAGGGTTTTGAGTTGCAAGCAAAACAACAGGACGGCATTGCAATTTTTGAAAATCCGGAGGATCTGGGGGCAATGAGAAGCGGCGAGAACTTTGGAGTTAGGCCGGCAAGCATGTGGCAATGGGAACAGTTTTCAACTTTGTTACAGCTGGAGCAAGTGACATCAGTAGCATTCCACCAACTGGATTTTGGTACAGACTACCTGAAGCCCACGAGGCTACTACTGGCAAATGTTGACAAGTTGCATGAAGCTTTTGCGAAGGGAGACCCCTTTTTGATGACCAAGGTTTTTATCAGGGACCACTGAAAACGCGCACAGCGGGAAAACAATTGGTGGGAACATCAGGGGCAGCTTTTGCAACTACTGGTTCCGAGCAGTGGCCGTCTTCTTTTTGCAAGTGGGTTGCAACTACAATTTTAGACAAGTTCATGTTGCGTTACAACCAGAGTCCTGTCATCGCTGACGATGGGGTAAAAGTACACTCAGACAGGACAGACTTTCCCATTTTACAACCGGACGGGGAAAAACTCTTGGGTGGATACGGACCGCCTAGGAAATGGCAACAACCCGGCAGAGAAAGATTTTTCCATGATGGAGCTGGACTCCCATCAATGGGGAGATGGGACATTGACAAAAGAATTTGGAACAACAGTGATTTCTGGTTGGAGTTGCGCAAAGAGACATTGGACATGGTCTTACAACACTTGGGTGATGAGCGGAAGCTGGACAGGGCATGTTTTGAGATGGCGGTAAAAGGCGAACAGGGATGCGATATTGTTTGTGATGAAGGGCTCAAGGATAGTATCCGAAAGCTCTGGGTTAGGAAACTTCAACAACATGGCAGTACTCAAGAGGATTTGGAATTTCGAGCTCCTGGCCAGCCCATTTATCTGAGGCTCCTCAAGGAGTTACTGGCTTTCTCGGGCGATATGGACCGGGAGTTCTTGATGCAGGGGGAGAGAGGTTTCCCTGTGGGAGTGGACAACCCACTCCCGAGAACCCCTCACGTTTTTGAGGAACAGACCACGTGGAAACTGGAGGATGACCCACACATGCAGGAAGAGGTTTGGAGATCCAACTATCAATCAGTGGAAGCCCACCAGGATTTTGTCAGGCAGCAGTTTTAGGAGGAATGCAACGAGGGCTTGATGGAAAGGCTCACTCTGGATGAGGCAAAACAAAAGTTTGGGGGGCGATTAGCTATATCATCTCTTGCAGTTTTAGTGGAGGAAAACCACCAAGGGAAACGCAGGGTCATCCACGACGCGACCCACGGCACAAAGATCAACAACCGCATCAAGTGCCGAGATAAGGTTCGAAGCCCGTGCGAGAGAGAAAAGCAATACTTATTGGCCTATTTCCAACTGCTCAGGGCTTCGGTTTTCAGTTTGGTGGGGGACATCTCCAAGGCTCATAGAAGATTTCTTCATGCACCGGAGGAGAGAGGACTTTTGGCATGTCGAGTTAGCGATGATGATCCTTACGTTTATATTAATAAGGTTGGAACCTTTGGTCTGGCATGTGCGTCTTACTGGTGGTCAAGGATTGCTGGATCAGGTGTCAGGTTGGTGCATGAACTTTTGGGGCCACAGATGCCGATAGAGCTTTTGATTTTTGCAGATGATGTTGAGGCCATAGCGGCAAGCCCGGGTGGGCGAAGAGGCATCACACTGGCCTTTTTATTTCTTTCTTGTTTGGGTTTCCCTTTCAAATGGGCGAAGCAACGTGGTGGGCTGCCTGTTGAGTGGATAGGATTGTTTACAGACTATACCACATACAAGCTTGGACTCTCCCCAAGGAGAGCTGAATGGATGTACAACTGGGTCTTGAAGCTTGCAAAAGAAGGCACCACCACATCAAAATTTTTCGAGCAGGGATTGGGGCGACTGGGTTTTGCTGCACTAGCCCTACACTGGGAAAAACCTTTCTTGGGACCACTTTACAGCTGGTCAGCAGCCACGCGTAACAAGCGGGGCCAGTTGAGATTGCCGGCGATGCTCAGAGCTATTTTACTTTTTCTTGCCCGACGGTTCAAAGAAGAAGGTCAGTTGCAAGAGGCCCCAC